AGTAAATCGGATGTTAACCAACCTCTATGCAGCACATTTTGGGAGAATAACAAACATAGTGATGAATGGTTTATCATCAAGAGAACGGCGAAGGTTTGCATATAAAAGATGTTTACTCTTTTCTTCTTTGAAAGTGGTTTTCAGGAGTCTCCAAGCCAGTTTTCAACATGGGAAAATGCGTGGGAGCATTATGTGCCAGATCGCCTTGACCCTCTTATTCGAGACGTAATCGCTGACCTTCACCTTAGAACTCCCACTCAAATTCAGGTGAGATCTTCCAACTGTGCAGCTTCACTAATACGTATTGAATCCATTTTTAGACGCAGTGTCTACAAGCGTTTCCATCTCGCTACCACCTTTTTATTGCAGCTGAAACGGGCTCAGGCAAGACAGTCGCTTATGCTGCTCCCCTACTCAGTAAATTATTACAGAGTAAACGGAAGGGGATCGCCGAGAAAGGTATGGGCTTACTGGTAACGGCTTAGCTGTTGATGATTGATGTAATTTAATCTTGTTGCAGCTGTTGTTCTTTCCGTAACTGCGCCGCTGAAAGAGCAAACATTTAAGACTCTTTCCAAGCTGGCATCCAAAACTGATTTGAGGATTTCGATGTGTTCAACAGACGCCTGCTGTTCGGTTGGTCTCAGTCTTATTGCTTACTACATACCTGGACTTTGCAAGATATGTTTTCCTGATTATCACGTTTTACGTTCAAGCTTCACTTCTTCCCAAAACTAATAATAAATCACCTGGACAGAAACTTGCCTGCATTCATGTGCAGCCCCCAAATTTCTCTTCATCTTTTAAGTGTCATCGCGCTAAGTTAAATTTAGACGGTGATATCGTAGAATTAACAACAATTTCACAGTTTCTTTTCATGTAAGGCATTGCAATGGATAAAGTTTGATTTCATCAAAAATTCCGCTGGTAGAGATAACTGCTTAAGTCTTTCTATTCATGTGTGCTCGCTCTTCCTTTCCCCTAGCCCTGCGTGACTTATTTCTCATCGGACAGTCTCATTTAATGAAGCTGTTAATTCCAAAGGAGGCAAAAAAAATTGACTCCGTAACGTCGAAACTCTATATTGTTAGCGATATTGGTAGGAGAAGACTTCACTAATGTTGCTATTGTATAGTATCTAGATTAAGTGTAATAATCAGGAACTCGGCATTAAGTTTTCCAAGTGTTGCTCTTATCTCACCCCTTTTTTCCTTTTTCTTTTTTTTACCACGTTTTTATTTGGTTTTCTTGATATTCCATGTTTGTGAATATTTGCAGGATGACTTCGACGTTCTTGTGGGTACTCCTGGTCTGGTGGAGCAAACTCTTCGGAGACGTGGAATTTCATCGGATGTTAAGCATGTGACTGTTCCTCATAATAAAGCTTAGTCTGTTTATAGTCATTTCTTTTTTAGATAGTTTTGGATGAAGCTGACATGATCCTTGATGAAAGTTTTACCGAAGTTCTCACGGAGATCTTTGCTTTGGTACCTGTCTCCAATTCGGTCACGAACACACGTACCAATCAAGATGGTATGCTTCCCTTTCTGTGTTCTAAAGAAATTAATGTATGTTTAGGTGCTGCTCGTGTCATATTTTGCTCTGCCTCCTGTTCTGAAGAGCTGGAGTGTCTTGCGGATGGTGTAGTCGACCGTCAGCATCTTCGCTACATTAAAAGTCCCAAATTGCATTTCTTATCCAGTAATGTAGAACTGAAGTTTATTCGGTGAGTGAGTTCGCCAACTTCACTGATCGTACGCATTTGAAGTATCCAGTGTATGTGCCTACTCCTTCCAAATCTCATTCCAGAGTTAGGGAAAAAGACAAAATAACGCGACTGATAAGTTTGCTCTCAGACGACTTGAAACGAGGTGAACTTAACCAAACAATGATCTTCTGCAAGGTTGAGAGTTTAATAATTGAACCAGTGCCGATTTGGCTATCACTCATGATTTTTGTTGAGGACCGCGCAACAGCTTCCTTTGTTCATCATCAATTGCATACTTTTTCCCCCCAATCCACCCTGTGGAAACCAAATACGGCTTTCGACTCGACTTCGAGGATTTTTGTTGCGACGGATATGGCAGCTAGGTAACGTCTTCCAGTGTTATTTGAGTCGAAGAGATTAGATATCCATTGTATTCTAAAACAATCTTGTCATTGGTACTTCTTTTTCATCAGCACTCCATATTGGCAATATTTCTATTCAAAATTTAAGTTTAAATCATAAGTAAGTTGTAAAGAAGGTTGTCGACACTTCTTCGGAATTGACAGTCAGTTACCCGGTCGGCTTCTCCTCTGCCACACCACTGTAACTTTTTTGAGACTATACTTGTGTCTTAAGATTATTAGTTCTTGCAAAACCAAAATTGCTTTCCCTCTGAATATGTTCCATCAAGAGTCCTATTTGCAACGTTAAGAGGGATCGATCTTCCGCGACTCAGCCATGTGATCAACTATGATCTCTCGCGACACACTTTCGACTTCCTCCATAGAATAGGAAGGGTTGGTCGACTTAGCTCATCCTTTCTTGGTAGAGTTACTTCATTCGTACGCACACCCAGCGAAGTCCGGCTAACCAATGTTATCGAGGTAAGCTTTCCATGGCGTGGTATGTGAAACGAAGTTTCATAGTGGAAACGCATTTTTCTAATTACGAAAGCATAAATGTTTTCTAGTTGGCCGCTCGTCTTGGTCGACCGCTATCACAAATTGAAGCAGATATCTTTGCTCAAAGGCACAGAATACAAGACAAGGACGATCAGAGATTATTATCTCATTCGACGATATGAAAAAAAGGATGAAGACATGTTTACCTTTTCTAGAAAAGAATATAGAGTTTTCTCATATCAGAATATTAGGTTGCGTTTGCTTTTATCCCATGATTAGTATTAAAACATCCACACACAACAGAATAAACCAAAAACAAGTCACTCAAGCATTTCCCAATGGAAAATAAATTTTTCGGAACCTGAAAACGAATCGCTAGAGAAATAAATGGTTTGATTTTCACAATAGTGATGGACTCACTTCAATGGATTGCGATGATATGCATACAACGCATGGATAAAGACAGATGAAAGGCTTACGATCACAGTACCAGGAATAGCTTTAGATTTAAGATACTGATGAGATGGAAAGATCTTAATTAACACATATTCTGCACCGTTAATTATCTAACATTATTATTCCGAAGTACATGCTTAAGGTAAAGACTTTAGAAGATGAAACTAGAAGTTAGTATGCTACATGATAGATATGAATTAACACTCAGCTGTTCAAGATAGCCCATGCGTCGTCATCCCAATCTTTTGTTGGTTGTGCTGCCTTCTTTGACTTAGTCATGGCTGTTGTTCGTGGTTTGCTAAACGACGCCTCAAACTGCGTTATTGTTGAATCTTCTATAAGAAAATGTTATTAGAGTAAGAACTCAATACAAAAGATGAAGAAATGGTAGAACTCTACTATAACCTGATGTTGCTGGCATTTGTTGCTCCGAAGCTGGCGTGTTTGCTAAATTGGATGCAGACTTCGATGTCATCTTCTTTTCCGGAACGGTGCTTTTCTTCGTTTCAACTCCAGACTCTGCAATATTTGGTCAGATACTTTGAAACTGAAACTGAAGATTTTGAAATGGTTTTACGAACTCCACTGACCTGCTAGGGAAAAGAAAGCATCACCCGCTTGTCCGCATTGCTTATTGAAAGATGTAGTACTTGAAAATGAGTTATGGCTATCTGCGGCAGAGCTTCATAAACTCCAACATACCTCATACCAGATTCGTAACTTTTATTATTTGTTGATGTACACGATGACTGCTCTGTTGGTGTTGACATTTCCTCATAACCACTGCAAGGTCAAAGATGCCTCTTTGATATAAAGTGTATAAAGTAAAGCGAAAGCATCTGAAGCATCTACAGACTGGAAATATACTTCCAATCGAGTTATAAGATACACTGTCAACACTTGATAAAGAGCTAGAGCCAAAATACTACTAAATACTAAAAACTTACGTTTTGGGTAGTAAATTTCCTAGACCCTGTAAAGATGGCGATTTCACAAACTGGGAGATACCACCCCAAGATTTTTGTCCAATTTCCGTTGCTTTGCTCGCAACTCCGGAGAGTAGACCACTGTTTTGTGCCTGAGAATTTCGATTCTTGGCATTCTAAATATACTTTTGTATGCAAATGCATGTATAAAATAAATTACTTACTAACCCGGTTACTGTCAAAAAAAAA